ATTTATAGTTGCTAAATACTGATATATTTTCACATTTTTTTACATAAATGCAATATTGAAATCTTTGGAATTCCGTGACTCCAGAAGGTTGACATAGGAAAAGGAAACCCTTGCCTTGTTCAGATGGGTTATGGGGCTGGAGTGGTATAACTCTGTTGCATAAGATTGCTACTTAATGTGTTTTTCATAAATATGCGGTGTTTAACAATCTACCTGCATCTCTTACTCTGAAAAGATGCAGAGTGGAGCAGCTCACCTTGCAAAAGTTAGTTAGTTATGTAACATCTATTTCTTGATCAATGTAAGTTGCACCTCTGAACTGTTTCACTCACTAAAACTGATAGTCTTTCTTTTAGCTTTAGATTACTAATGACTTTTTTTTTTAACTTGTAGTCAGCATTCATTCTGCTCCTGCTGCAGCTATTCTCAGTCTTCCCACTGTAAAAATTGCATCTGTCTATATATAAAGCATTATGCTGAATTACATTTACAGAGATTACTGTAAGGTAGTATTAAGCTAGCAATTATTTGTTCTAATTATAAAAATAAATATCTGTATCTTCTGAAACTGTAATGCTTAATGAACATTACTTAAGTACTTCTTAAATCGTTTGCTCTGTACAGGTAGCAAGGAGTCACATTGTTGCTACCTGAAAATATGTAAAACTGATTTCAGCTGTATGTTGGTAAAAAATGTCTGCTAAATAAGGATATTTTTAGAGGGAACAGAGACCCATTTCTTTCCAATGGCTTATGAAAGTATGTTAGTAGCTTCTTTAGACCTTTTTGGTTTTTTCTCTTTCCAGAATCTGTAGCACATGCAGATGCTGAATATGTTTGGATAATTTTTATTAGCAGATGACAGGAGTACATGATTATTTTTCTTGTTATATAAAGCCAGATCTTTTAAAGTATTTCTGTAATATGTAGATATTTTGACCTTTTGGGCCTACAATCAATGAAAATTCTCCTTGACCTAGTTTAATATTTCATTTGAAGCTGTAACAGTATTCAAAATGGCTTCAGTGTGATGGATAATCAGGATGTTTATTATAAATATTTTAAGGCCTGCTGTTAATGCAGTCTTATCACCTGTTAGTATGAAACAGGTGACATACAGAGATCAGTCATTAGATGCAAAATTATGATCTGATTACCTTATCTTTTGAGCTAAAAAGAGGAAAACTTATACTAAAATCCTTTTATCAAACAGTTTGGTCTATGGACATATTTTTGATGTTGCATCACTCTTTCTGAAAACACTGGTTGACTTCCTTTTTCAGTGATAAGGCATATGCCACTGGTAAACTCCTGTGTGAACGTTTAAAAGAGACTATACCTAGACAGTTGTTTGAAATAGCCATCCAGGCTGCTATTGGCAAGAAAATCATTGCAAGAGAAACGTAAGTGAAGACCATCTGTTCCCTTTTTTCCCCTCCATAATTTAAGCTATGTAAAGTACAGATTTTTAATGTCTCACCAAGTTTTATACATTACAGTACTTTGATTTTAGTGTAAAGTTGTATTTTTCTTGTATATGCTACCAGACATCTTGAAAAAAAGAAAAAAAAAAACTAAACCAAATTTGAGCTGTGAGTGTGACTAAAGACTTTGAATTACAATTATACAAAGAAAATGTATTTTTTATTTTAAATTGCTTGTGGTCAGCATTGCACTTAGTGGATAAAGCATAATGTCCAACTCCTGTGTGTCCATTTCCTCTTTGGCAGTGGAAAAAGTTTCTTCCTACTGAAAAAACTTAGCTAGTTGTGGAATAGTTAAATCTCTGGGAGAGTCAGCAAAAAAAGAACTGATTTCTACTGTTCCAAAGGAAATATGTTGCAAGCTGAACAACAACTTTTTCTTAAGCAGCATGCACTTCTTTAGAGCAAACAGTTTCCTTGATGCTGTGTTTCTCAACACATTTTTCTGTTGCTGTTTAAATAGGATTTAAATTGTGGTAAAATGATTATAGGTAGGAATTTAAGCCAAGGTGCTGTAAGAATTTGTGTTTATATCTATACACACGTGGATGTAACACTTCCTATGAGCTGTAGCAGAAGTCCTAGATAAAAAGAAAGGCAAGACTGTAATTTTTTTATGTACACATTATACACCCTATAGGGTATTTCTAGAATTAAGAACTGTGAATTGCATCTTCTGCTTAAAACTTCATCTCTTGTATACAAAACATGACAATGTTATGATGCCGATGAATCTTACAAAACTAGTAGAAAAACAATTAGTATTTTGACAATTCAGTATTTAGCTTCATATATAGATGTTCTAATGTGTTAAAGGTATATATGTTATTTTACAGGCTGAAAGCTTACAGGAAAAACGTTGTGGCAAAATGTGTAGGTATTTTTCTTCTTTTTTTTTTTTTAAATGTTTCTGACATTTGTAAACCTGCTAAGATGATAGGCCCATATTTTCCTAGAAACCCAGCAAAGACATGTTCTGTTTGCACTCCTAAGTATCAGTGGAATTTTAACAGATACTTCTAAGCTTTTATTTTAAAATTCAACTCTTACAACGTCTAGCTGCAACTTGCAGTAAGAGGGGTCAGAACAAGTAATGGCTTTTTCAAAGTTACATGCTTGAGTGAACTCACCATGTTCTAATAGTTGAAGACAGAGTAACTGTATGTGTGTACACAAGCATATGTGTAACTTCACATTTCCTAAATTGTTTTTCAGATGATAAAGTATAAATGTGCTTCGTAATAAAGCTTTTAAATATTGAATAGTTGGCTATTGACAAGACTCAACAAAGCTATAGGAAAAATGTGATACCTCTTACTCAGCTTATATTTAGTTCTCTGAAGCAAATGTTGCAAATTATTGACCAAGTGTCCCTTTCTCACAACTGTTACAGAATTCTTTTGCTATGCACATGTGTGGGGTGGTGTTTTTTCAGTGTTGTACAAGGGTTTAGTTTATTTTTCTAGATAAAAGCACCTAGTGCTAGTCAAGATGCCTCAGTGTACCTGAGCTGGCATCCTGCTGCTGTTCCAAGGGGATATGGATCTGATGTATTGTCTAGTGTCAGCCAGGCTTATGTGAATGTGTATATTTAGGTCAGAATTCAACCTTCAGGTGAAGGTTCTAAGTGAACATGCTTACTTGCTCCCTTGTTTTTATGAGTGTTCTTTAGGCATAACTATTTGGAGTATAAAATAATCTTTTGTCTTAATATAACCAACCTTCCTGGCTTTTTTTAAGCCCTTGAATTTAGTGTTGCTGAAATGTACTGTAGCTACATTTGTCGTTTAAGCTTACTAAAATATTTTTCCTTTTCACAGTATGGTGGAGACATTACAAGAAGAATGAAGCTTTTAAAGAGGCAGGCAGAAAGCAAGAGGTTGATGAGAAAAATTGGCAATGTGGAAGTACCAAGAGATGCCTTTATACGTGTCCTAAAGAGAGAAACTGACAAGTAGAGATCAGTGACATGATCATTCTCTCAACTTCTTGCAGACAGGAGCATAGTGAGCTAATTAATATATGATTTATCAATGTGAGAGGGAATGTACTTGACTTTTAATGGTGTAAATTAAGTATATCTGGGAAGATGAACTGAAAGGATTGTGTACTTAAAACATACAGATACTTGTAGATTATTATGAAATTAAAGTTCACTTGACTGAATTTTCATTGTATAGTTTTCATTGTATTTCACTGTTTTCATATTTTTAATACTTAAAAAATGTTTTATTTCTGCATTGCAAGTCTACACATGAAAGAACAGGAACCACATGGCAAAAAGGTTATAAAAATAACTGAAAGGTGTGTATAGACAAACAATGCTGTGTTGGTTTGGTTTTTTTCTCGTAAAGTTTTAGCTGTTGCCATAACAATATCAAGCTGCTTCCTGTTTTACTACTTCTAAAGTTGCTGTTGTCAGGAAATCATCACGATGCTGGGAAATCACATTAGGGGGGAGAAAAAAAATCAAAACTTTTTTAATGTACCTCCCTCTGTACTTTAAACTTGTTGAAGTGTATAAGTTTACGATTAGTACAGCCTAGCTATACTCAGCTCCAGAGAAATCATAAGTTTTAATATCTTAAACCACAGGATATGTAACTGCTCCACCAAAAGACCAATTCCCTTAAAGAATTCCCTTGGCATGAAGGTTTGGTTAGAACATGTCTTTGTGTACTTGAAGTTTTATTTCTATTGTTAGTGAGTCCTCAGCTGAAAGCTACAGTGTAGTGTGCTTAACATACAGTGTACACAAGGCAATCATAAATGCAAGTTAATGACCCTGCTATATACAATGTTTACAACTGCTTGCCCACCTCCAAAAGCTTTTAAGACAGACTCTTCCATGCTTTTGTAATTTCACAGAACCATAGAACAGTCCAGGTTTGAAGGGATGTTAAAAGACCATCTGGTCCAACCCTTTATGTGAAAGGCGAGCCTAGATGAGACTCTACCATATCCTGAGGAGAAAATGTGATTTGTAATTAAGGCTACCTGCCTGTCATCTAGGTGAAGAGTTAAATTCTTCAAGTTCTGCTTTGTTGCACTTTCTCTCAGTGAGTATTTTACACAAAGACGTGATCCCACCGTTTCCCCCCCAAAAAGTCTAAATCAGTGAACTCTCATCTTCCTCCTTTGGTGCCTAATCACTCCCTGAAGCCCTGAAGTATTTATGCATGACAATTTATATTAGAAATGAAACAATTTTGAAATTAGAGATTTATATTTAAGTTTTACTTATATTCAAAGTAGGAAATAACATTCCTTGTAACAGCTCAATGTTTATAATGATACAATGAGAAAGTGATTAACAGTTGGCTTTAAATGACCATTAAATTTGCAGACATTATGTTCCTGTAATTTAACATCTTTTCAGGCATTTAATAGTAACATCAATTATATAATTGAACAGGTACCTCCAGAAAGGAACATTTAGATTTTTCCTTCTGTATAAAGCTTGATTACCAAAAATATAAAAATCCTAATTAACTTGAAATACATGAGAGGAAAAAGTGCTATGGCAAAGTTTAATATTTTTATCCGTGGAGTAAGTTATAACTTGCAAGAATTTGGTGCATTTTTAGGCACTGTTCTTGTATTTTCATTTGTCTGAACTATACAGCAGGTCTTGAGATGCCCAAAAACTGTTTAAGATAAATTTAAGGCAACCAAGTGCAAAAGCTCAGTGTATATTAGATACATGTAAACAGAATGTTTCATAGTAGAAATTGTACAACTATTACGAGTCCATAGTATTGACAAAGGCCAAAACCATTCTGCCTAGAGACACAAATGCAAAATGTAGTTACACTAATCAAGCCAAAAATTACAAATTCCAGGAAATAAAGTATCATCTTTAACACAAGGCAGATGCATTACACTGCTGTGCTAGAGTAAGTGCTCTGCTTTTCCCCTCTCTACATAACATGCAGTCTCTCACAGGTTTATTCTGTTCCATTTAGTGATGTACCACCCAACAGCAGAGCTCCAACTGTTAAAGCAAAATGCACAACACAGCAAACAGATGGAATGTGAATGTACAGATATTGGACCTTTTAAAAAATACAGTACCTAGGATTCCCCATTTTAAACGGTTTTCAGCATATTGCATAGCAGTGAACTCATCTGCTACCTAAAACGGTTGCTGTTGACCCACATGGAGTTCCTCTTCAATTCTTCTTTCAGTTTTCTTTCATACTGTACAGTGGGTCCACAAGCTTATTGTGCACATGCATTAAACCTTGGGGGGAAAGCAACAATGCCAGCTTTACGTTACTTATAATTTTTCAACATGTCCTTCTATCCACATTTTTATTTGGAGTTTGCTTCAAAGTATACATTTTAAGTAGTTCACTGAAGAGAACAATAATAATGTCTATTTAAAGCAATTTAAAATCGGAGACAGCATATACATATATTCCTGTATCACTTGCATACTAATGACATCTGCAGTATAAACCGAGCAGGGATCAGACATTTCTCTGATAACAGACCCAAAAAGCAGATCTGGAACGCTTCCAAATTCATTGAATACATCTTTTGTTCTGTATTAAAAACTGCATAACAGCAACATAATTCCCTCACACCATAATTTGTCATAAAAATCAGATATACACATAGTGATACTTTTACAGCTTGAATTCTTCAGTTGCAATGTTGTAGCATTGTGGTATCACTGTCTGGTCCTAGACAGGCAAAAGCAAACTAAAACTATCCAGACTGTTAATGCAGATTCAGAATTTCAGTAGTTCAACTGAAATTCAAACTGTTCTAACTGGGCTTTTTGTTTTTCCTCATACAAGTCATCCATAGCTATGACTGGGGGTGTTATTTTTTTCCTACTCAACTACTTCAATTCTGGAAAATGCTGAAGAGCATTTAACAAAAAAAGATGCTTCCCTCTTTACTTTGTTATTACTTAGTAAAAATGTTAATTTATCTACCTATGTATGACACTGGGTCACTGGCAGGTTTTTAAACTTCGTTTCACCTTAAGGACTAATAACAGTAACTGATCAACATTCACAGTCTGCAAAGTAAAAGTCCATTTTAGCATCAAACTAAAGACTAACTTCTAAAATTAAAATATGCAACATTACGAGTCATTTTCTTAAATACCATGAAATAAATAAGCAAGTAGTACATAAATACCTTTGCTAGATGATGCACCTGGTGGCAACCTTAGTGTCACTGCAGCAACATGCAATAACTATACAATTTTAAGGTCATTACTGTAGTGACCACAACAAAAGGCATTTTATGCAGCATCTATTACTAATCATTGTGTCATCATTTAATATAAAATGCAGATATTAGATCAAGTATAATATTTTTCAGTTTAACAGTGAGAAAAATTAAGTATACATTTGATATAAAGTCATTTGTACTGAAAGAGTAACAGCTGCACACACTGCTCAAACTAGAAACATGTTTTGAGTTTCCTACCAGTGTTTTTCTCTTCTAAAAAGGGGAAATGAAAAGGAGATAATTACTCACTTCCTAGACACATGAAAAATGCTTACTAAGTATTGCCTCTGCCATACTTAATAAAGAATATTTAAATCCTGTTAGTGAAATTGTTACAGGAAAATCAGTAAGAAACAAAAGTTTTTTTTTAAGGTATGCATCCCACTGTATATTCAAGTATGTTTTCCCTTTCACCATAAGAACATTTAAGTACACTTCATACTTTTAGCCTATAATAGGTTTCAGAAAGTTAGAAAAAAGTGGAGTAAGTTATTCTATTTACCAGCCAGCATGGTACTTGATTATAAAAAAAAAAAATAAAATTGCAGTTTCATATAGTACCTTGAGAATTTTTAAGTAGTGAAAAATCCCAGTAAATCACTACTGTAAATAGCAGTATTAAGAACTACCTAGCTTCCTTAAGAAATCTAACCTAAAGATCAAGATTCAGAAATAATTCCAAATTTGATCCGCATTGATCTCTCCTTCATCTTTAAAAGGGAAAATCTCACTGATTTGAGAGTAGGTAAAATTAAGCAAGTTTACAGTAAACAGTCTTTTTAAGCATTCTATTGCTGTATATTGCAGGGTTATTCAATACAGTGTGACACAACAGCACACATTCATAAATTGTAGCCCTTGATGTTTTTAAAGCAATGTTCAGTGTCATTCATACCTAGTAATTCTACATTATGTTTATCTTTCCCAAGCATAGCCTCTGTTTATATGAAATACAGGATAATGTTTAAAATTTATCCAAGCAGTTAAAGAAGCTTATCTTTGAAAACAACAATATCTAGCAGTGTGATACAGCTAAAGACTAACCCTCCACCCTACCCTGCAAATACACAGCAGAGGACAGCATACTGAAAAAATCCAAAATTAACAAATTGGCCACAAGTGATATCAGGATAAAAATCACAGTAATGTCCGAATTGCAGTCTAATATATATATAAGCACTGCTGATATAATGCTTTATAAAAGAATTTAATAAATTACAATCTTGATCTCTGATACCTCAACTACTACAGGTACCCAGGCTAGTGAGAAAGACAACCATTTCACACAATTCCATGTGCTGTGCTAATACAGTGAGGAGAAAACTACTTTTCTTAGCTTCTACAGTCTCAATGAAACAATTCAAATTAGGAAGTCTCAATGACTATCAAATATTCTGACTTCAATTTTGCCCCAATATACCTACAACAAATATGAAAAGCACAGTACAAGTGTGCAATGTGTTCAAAGTCAGTATAGATTGTTATGCTAATTGCACTGAATGAAAAATGTCCTCGTGTGGCTTCAAAGTCTGTATCATACATTTCCAGTTTACTAGACAGCATGTTACAGCACACAGCAAAGGCAGCATGAAAATATATCAGGATTAATAAATGTATTGAGTTTTTTAAGTGAAACTTTCCATTAGAGTTATGACCTGTATTCTGGAACACTGCTGCTGTTTGACGTGGAAGATTACTAAATTATTGTTTCAAACTAGAAGCAAAGGAAATGTTTCTCCCAAGTAGATTTGTCAGGAATATAAGCAGCACAAATTATGCCTCCTAGCAATTTTCCATACACAAGAAATAAGTTAACAGTTAGTATTTTGAATATATAACATTACACATTAGGTACTGTAAAGTGTTGAAGGCTCAGACTTAAATCAATATAATTTTAAATCTGTTGGGTTTGCATTTTTTGAACACATGTAACCCTCTGATTCAGTGCTCACCTTTAAAGTACTTCACAGTTTTAACTCTTAGTTCTAAAGTAGCATCTTCGTCACACACAAAGATAGTGCGAGGGTGTTGCTGGAAAGCAGAAACTGTCCACATATGATTGACTCCTTCTTCGATTGCTTTGTACAATGCAAAAGCCTTATGTGCACCTGTTATAAGAATCATCACCTGCAAAACAAAGGTCTCTTTACTTTCAATCCCAGTATCAATACCAACTAGTCTTGAAAACACACATGCAACTAGAACTAAACGAGTTCTTACTTCTCTAGCATCCATCACTGTACCCACACCAACTGTTAGCGCCATAGTTGGTACTTTAGATAAGTCTCCATCAAAGTATTTAGCATTTGCCAAAATGGTGTCCATTGCTAAAGTCTTTAATCTTGTTCTTGAAGACAAACTTGATCCGGGTTCATTGAATGCAATGTGGCCATCTGGACCAATGCCTTTTCAAAGTTAAAAAAAGTAAATCATTCCAGACCTGAGAGTCAACAAATATCCTCAAACATCTTAAACGAATAAACAATTTTCAGGACTCATTCTTTCCTTTCCCCATTTTCAATAAAAAACATTCTAAACTTAATTTGGTTAAGTCATTAGAAACTTGGACACCAACCATTCTGTTTTGGTATTCATACTGATTCTTTGTTAGTCACAGAACTTTCCTGCACCATAACTGAAAAGTCTAGGTTTAGCCAAGTCATGAAAATAATGATTAAAGAATCAGTGTACATGCTTGAATAGAAACTAACCATAAAGCATTTCCTCATACCTCCAACGAACAGATCAATCCCTCCTGCTTCTTCAATTTTCTTTTCAAATGCATCACATTCTGCCTGTAAGTCTGGAGCATTCCCATCAAGGATATGAGCATTATTTGGATCTATGTCAATATGCTTAAAGAAGTTATTCCACATATAGGAATGATAACTCTCTGGATGATTTCTGGGGAGCCCTGAAATCATTTAGAGTGAAATTAACATAAGACAAGATTTAACCAAACAGCCTTAATTCTAGTTTATTTGTAACTGATGTAGGGCATGCAAGGCAAACCTAACTGAGTCAGATAAAGCAAGTTTTGAAATAACATTGAGAAGAAAGTTTTCCTGTTGGCATGCACAAGGTAATTGGTTTGCATTCACTTCACATATGTCTTATCACAAAGAGTATTAAGTCTTCAACAGACATGCAGTCACAATATTACATTACAATGTCCTTTCTGCACTGTTTGTTTTTGCATTTTTGTAGATAAATAATAGAGAAAAATGCTTAAGATGACCCCATGGACAGAAATTTAACATAAGAGTACAAACATACTAGACTGATCTCGTTCTTTGACAAAGTATTTAATAGTTTTTATAAGGAGGAAAAAATAACAGTACAGTGTGTTCTCAAATAATAGCGCATCTTACCTACATACTCATCCATGTTGAAAGTCTTTACATATTTGAAAGAGAGATCTCCATTTTTGTGATATTCTATCAGCTTTTTGTAGCATCCCAAAGGCGTACTACCTGTTAAATAAAATTTTTCTACTATTCTATGTATCTGCACAACATTTTCAGTGTATTTACATCTATTCGTAGTCAAATTTTGCTACAATACTTTTAAACATAAAAGCAATCTGCTATTTCTCATTTACTATTTCTCAGCTTCTCAAACATTATAACTTTTCACACAAAGCAAATCCATATTTTAAAAAAATTATGCTGGAGTATTACCAAAAATAATACTTATGTTCTTTTAAATACTGTATCTACTAGCAATGATACAAACATTGTTCTAGGTTAACTTATTTACACAGACTTTGAATAAAACTTGCCTGTTGGTAGACCAAGCGTGAAATATCTTCCTTGACTTGGCTTGAACTGGATAATACGATTACAGATGTATTTTGCTGCCCATTCACTAGCCTGATCATAATCTTCAAGAATCACTAGCCTCATTCTGGCAGTGAGGAACTTGTATTATAAAACAAACTTAAACCTGGAGAAAATGTCAAAGTTTTAAAAATAAGCACCCTATGAATAGTTGTAAAACTCTTAGATAACAGTGGAGATAAAAAATAACCTTTCATGCCAATCACTTGCATAAGCATAACACATTCTTGCAGTCCTAGTTCAAGCTGGACAATCAAAAGCAAAGCTACAGAATCCAAGTGAAAGATTCCAGTCAAAATATTTATTAAAATTCACAGTCTAATTTAAAGTAACTTATAGGAAAAAGCTAAACCAAAATATGAATAAGCCGTTTTGAACTTCAACATTTTAGTCAAGTATTACTGTTAGAAAAGAGGAAATATTCAAACGCTGAGATTAACTCCTGTTTCTCATGACCAACTGAAGGTCTAAAATTTCAAAAACAAGGCCCCAAATAACCCCATGTTTCTCTATTTAAAATACCTAATTGGAAGTAAATAATTAAAATTCCTTTCACTGCCATTCTAGCTCCATAAAATGCTTCAGTACGTTTATTAATCTGCAAAAAAAAGTTAAAGCATTAGATATTTGAAATGTGACCTCATATTATCTTTCCCTGTGAATTGTAAACCTTTTTTCAACATAACTTTAAACAGAAGTTTAGAAAGCTTTACTTTGTGCGCAATGGTATCAACTTCTAAGATGAATATCCAGAAAAGAAGCGTGCTCGCTAGATGTATACAAGCATCTCTTGCATTTAAGTGAAACTCATTTTACCATGAGAGTTTAACAGAGTCAGGTAATTACCAGAAAGACTGGGGCTCTTGAGCCAGTTTGTGATGTATTATTCTTCTCTTCCCAGGCCTGAATGTGCTTGGTATTAGCCAAAAAACGACACAGCTGCCAGAAGCCCAAGGCCAATTAAGTGCCAAACCACCTGTAGTGCACACTACTCTTAGCTAACCCAAAACGAGAGTCTGGTTTTAAGCACAAATATGAATTAAAATACATTTGTGTTTCACAGGGTGACATCTGTTTGTCCCACTAAAAGCAGAAACGCCGTGTGCTGCTTCCTCTCCACAGGCAGTTGAGCCGTGACAAGTCAAACTCACCTTTGCAGAGGAAACGCTATTACACAGACACCAAAAGGAGCTCACATACATCCCCGAGGAGGACAGAAAAGCAGGCCAGCAGGAAGAGACCCCGCGGCTTTAAGGGTGGTCTGATAAACCTCCAGCGATTTTTCCCCGGAAACACGGGGATGCTCTTCGACAGCAGCAACCCGCGGACCGCACCAGAACGACCGCGGATCTTCGGCTGAGGGCACTTTCTTGGGGGGTGTTGGTAAACCCACGCTGTTGGAGAAAGAAACCCACTGCCGGACCGCCGCCGGCGCAGCCCTGGGCCCGCAGCCTCCCCTCCCCACGGCCCGCGGGCCCCGCCCGCCCCGCTCACCCCCGGGGAGCCCGCGGCGGCCACGAGCGGCACCAGCACGGGGAGGACGAGGAGGAGCAGGATGGTGAGCAGGAGGAGGACGGAGAGCGCCGCCCGCCCAGCAGCTCCCGCCCCGCCGCCTCCAGGAGAGCCCAGCGCGACCCGGAAGCGCCTGGCGAAGATGGGAAAAGGGTTTGTTTTCCTATTTCCATTTCCGGGCGCTGTGGCTGGTGCAGGGTGGGGGTGAGGGAGTGCCGGTCCGCAGGCACCCGCGGGGTCGGGAGCTGCTGGGGGCTTTGCCAAAACACTGGCGTGCTTCCCACTCCAGTTGTTGTAAAATGTGGAATATGTAAAATTTTCTTAAGAAAGGATGTTCTTTGATTTTTATATACTTTCAGGCCTAAACAACAAGAAAGGGGATTTAATCCGTGAAACAGAGAGCAGCCAACAAGCTCTAAGTGATGTCCAGACAAATTACTTGTTGGTAGAATTGCCTTGTTAAGGTTTAGGGCTTGACATGTTTCAATGATCTCAAACCTAGGGGGAGGTTAACAAAGCTTGGGAAGAAGGATGAACTACTGAGAGTGGACACAAAGATGCAAAATTTACAGGCCACAAGAACATTTGGCAGAACTCCCAAGATAAGGAAGGAACTCATAAAGCCAACTCAGCAACTGTGCTGAATCAGCTCCCACTGGGTAAAAGATAATTCTGGGACGGGGAAGTCGTGACCACTAACTCATGGACCACTTACCCAAGAAACCCACCGACTCAAGAGAACGACCGAGCATGCAGACTAATCAGGATGAGAAGCGAGAGAGTCATTAACCAACAGAAGATAGAATACTAATAAGAGAACTATGTAACTTGTAGCCAATGGACACTAATTCCTGTGTTTGCTAAAATGTATAAATAGTGAAAAGTTTTGATAGTTGTGTGCTAGCTTTGTGGATTTGCCACCCAGTGCCCCTTTCTAAGCAGATTTGTAAATTAACACCTTGACTCTGTGTGGGGATTTGCCTCTTGCACAGGTGACAGAACATATTTTGGCAACACAAGCTGGAGCAGTGCATAAGCCCTTCTCTTGCCACCTCTTAGTAGGTGGCACTAAGATTCTAATGGAAAAGGTTCTCTCTTCCTCTAACTTAAATGTTTACATGAAGCAGTAACAAAAAGGCTGTTTGTAGTTACGGAAAAAGAAAAATAGGTAAAGCATCAGCTTTTTGGTGGATGACAAATTGACCATGAGCTGGCAGTGTGCCCTTGTGGCCAGGAGGGCCAGTGGTATCCTGGGGTGCACTGGGAAGAGTGTAGCCAGCAGGTTGAGGGAGGTGATCCTGCCCCTCGACCCTAGTGAGGCTACACCTGTGGCCAGTTCTGGGCTCAGTACAAGAGAGAGAAAGAACTATTGGAGAGGGTCCAGCAAAGGGCCACAAAGATGACTAGGGGTTAGGAGCATCTCTCTTATGAGGAAAGGCTGTGGGAGCTGGGCCTTTTTAGTCTAGAGAAAAGAAGACTGAAATGGGATCTCATTAATACATGTAAATATCTCAAAGGTGGGTGGCAAGAGGATGGTGCCAGACTCTTTTTGGCAGTGCCAAGTAACAGGATGAGGCACGATGGCCGTAAACTAACGAAAGTTCCATCTCAACATGAGGAAGAACTTTACATTGAGGGTGTCAGAGCACTGGAACAGGCTGCCCATGGAGGTCATGGACTCTCCCTGTCTGGAGTCATTCAAAACCCACCTGGACTCATTCCTGTGTCACTTGCTCTAGCTGACCCTGCCTTGATGGGTGAAGGTGAGATCTGGATGATCTCCAGAGGTCCCTTCCAACCCTAACGATTGTGTGATTCTCTGATTCTGTGATTCTATCTCTTTTTACTTTAAAAGCAGTCAAGTAATTTCATAGTCATAGCAAGCTATAATTAAATAGCTGTGGTTTGATAGGTCTTGGTGGCAGGGAAAGGGCTAACAGTCTGAAAGGGTGGTGCTTCAGAAAGTAGTGGGAAAACTGTAGCGAGGGGGGGTGAGCAAGTAACATAATTCTGAATATATGTGTATGCACATACTGTAGGCTTCACTGAGGCGTTACCATATTAGAAGACCAGGATAAATCTGTTTACTGGGCAGGAGCATAACTGGTTGTGGAAAAACATCATGATTGATGGGTAAAGGAAGAGAAGCTAATAAAGGGGAGTGTATGTTTCAAAAAAAAAAAAAAAGAAATCTGGGGTCATACATGAGTACAACGATATATTTTCTGATAACCTGTCTAGCAAGATTTCAAAATATTGAGAAATACTTTGCTAAGGGCATGAAATATGTGTTTGCAAGCTTGTGAGGAAAAATATATCTTGCTGAAGTCTTGGGCTTAGCATGCAACAATTAAAAATACCCTTTGTTTCAAAATCTGCCTTTCATTTGAATTTAACTTTCTAATATGAGCAACTTGATTTTAGCTCATGCATGTTCTTCTGATAAATTCTTTATCTCAGAAATTTTGCCAGGTCCTAAAGAATATTTTCTCTTACACCATTTCCTGAGTCAGGCTCTGAGCCTCTGATGCTCTCATTGTTTCAGAGTACATTTGCAATGGAAATTATTTTCAGATCCTGTGTAATTAATTAAGACTAGTTAACACATTGGTTTTTTATTGCTACACACCTAGGTACCTATAGGCCTGATATCACACCCCTCCCCTGAATAGTAGGGGAGATTTTTTTCCTTTCCTTAGTGAACTCTTATTCTCTGATATGTAAACTTAATCTAAGAGATTACATAATTATTTTGCATGGTCAGGTATCCAGTTGCCCTTCTGTCTCCAACAGCTCCCTATTATCCTGCTAGGACTGTCTGTTCACTTTCTTTGCATCCTTAGTGTTGCCAGCTTCTAAGAGACACTGCTTTACAGTGCTCCTGAAGGTAGCAACAATGGGCTCTACCTTGCTAAAATCTTTACTAGCTGCCTTGATCTCGAGATGGTCAATTGTTTCTGAGGATTTTTACTCTAGTGTACACTTGCTACCTGCTACCTTGACATGGTTGGAATGGAGCATGCCCAAATGGATGGTACAGCAAGAATTACCAGTTTGTGTTATCCCTGTTTTTCTTGGCAGAAAGGCATCATTCAGCTTTCAGGCTTCCCATATCTGACTCCATTTTTAGATATACTCTGTAGATATGACTCTGCTATATATTTCTTATCCTGCCATAGTCCATTGGCTTTGCTCATCACTCTGCTTGTGAAGTTGTTGTGGGAAACTTGAGATCTTTCACACAAGTTCTGTTGGTTTCCAAAACTTGAAAATACTTTTTTTTTTTTTCATCACTACAGAATAACTCTTAAAATTCGCTTAATAGGATCCTCCTTATTGCATATTCTCCAGGAGGTCACAGAATATGTGATGTACTGCTCTGCACTCAGTAGAACTTGCCCTTTGTCCTGCTGCCTCTAAATTCTGAACAACTTGTCTGTTGCCATTTTAGAAAACTTGGCAATGTTATCAAGTACTTCTATTAGACAGACAAATTGCCTGTCTTTTGTGAGCGTATTCAATTCTGACTCTCCTTGTTAGTATGCTAATGCCCAGGGTATGATTTTTCCAAGTCATTCTTCCGATTTTCCTTTCTAATTAGAAGCAGATGGAAAATGCTCTATATGCACTGAATGTTGTTGCTAACAATTACTAATTAAGATTTTGCTAATTAAAACAAAATCTTAATTACTTACTAGTTTTAATTGAGTAGCATGACTAGAGATTTCCTAAAATCTGACAGTTATAGTATTTAAAATCCCAATATCTTTCTCTTGCTTCTGGAAACAGTCTTTCTGTGATAATTTTTTCCTTTTGTTTTCTTAATGGCCCTTTCTGTTAAGTATTAATTCATTTACTCTCTTGATGGTGATCTAATTTTTATATATCTGCTATGATCAGGTGGCTTTTGTGCTTTTTTCTTTAAACCTGCGTTTAAGTGACTCTGAATTTAAACTAGGTGTACTGCAATAGTCACAAAGCTCCATTGAATTTTACCTGAGGAGGGCCACCTCAACTTCAGCTGAATCCAGTCTTTTAACAAGGTAGATGTTCCTTCAGATTCACTCCTTTTTAGTTGGAAGAACAAAAGGTCCTGCCCAAAGCTGGGACCTATGAAGGAAAATTACTAAAATGGATGTTGACATGCAGGAAAGACTCTGAGAAGAAAACAAAAAGGTTGCAGTAAAGATATTTGCCAAGGCATTAAATGTAGAGGTTGAGAGACAAGTGAAAAGACTTTAAATTCACCTTGGTGAATTAAACTCCTATATTGAGTCTGGCCGAGGTGGAGTTAATCTTCCCCAGAGCAGCCCTCACAGTGCTGTGCTTTGCATCGGTAGCTAGAAAGGTGTGGTTAACACCCCACTGTTCTGGCTACTGCTGAGCAGCACTCCCCAGCATCAGCATTGTCTCTCCAGCGTTCCCCATGGCCAGGAAGCTGAGGGTGGGCAAGATCTGGGGAGGGGACACAGCCGGGACAGCTGACCCAAACTGACCAAAGGGATATTCCATAATATATGACATCTGCTCAGATATAAAAGTTAAGAGAAAGGGGGAGGAAGGGACATGCATTTTTATGATGTTTGTCTTCCATAGCAACTGCTATCTGTACTGAAGCCCCACTTCCCAGGAAGTGGCTGGACATTGCCTGCTGATGGGGAGAATAGATCTTGTGGTTTACTTTGCTTCCACGTGCAGCCTTTTCTTTATCTAACTGCCTTTATCTTAATCTGTGAGGGATTTGTGTCCATCTTATTTTCTCTCGTGCTGTCCTGCTGCGGAGGGGAGTGATAGAGCAGCTTGGTCAGCACCTGGTGTCCAGCTGGGGTCAACCCACCACAACTCTGCAGTGTAACAGGTGTGCAATCAAGAATAAGGATGCAAAATAACATAGCAGCTGAGACTTATAAGAGAGTAATAACCGTATGGGGAGAAGGAAGAAACATGCAGGAAAGATTTTTTTTTTCAGAACTCTGAAACAATGTGAAGATAGTGGTTGTTACCCCTAGTATTCCATTTAATGTCATGGGGTCAATAGCCTTCTGTTTTCCTGTGATGAAAGCATACTGAATTTCTGGTAACTTAATTTGTC